GCGGCCCCCGCCTTCGCGCTAGGGCCGGCCGGGCCGGGCTCCCGAGGCTCGCGGGGCGCGGGGTCGGGCGGCGGCCTCGGCGTGCGGAGGGCTGCGGGGCTGGGGCCTGGCGGGCGGGCCGCCGGCGCGGGCGCCTGTAGGCCGCAGGTTTGCACTGTCACGTCGTGAAATTGAAACCGGAGCCCTGGGCAGAGCCGCCGCGGCTGGGAATGCGCCCCGGCCCCGGGTTTGGGGGAGCCCAGCCCTCCTCACTTGCTGCTCGACTGGCGAGAGGCCTGTCGCCCCAAGTCGGACTGTGTCCGCTTGTCCCGTCCCGTCTGACCCCCGCGTGTCCCCTGATAGTGACGGACAGACGAGCTGTGGAAATGGAGCTTTTGGGAACGGGGGGAGGGAGGGAAGGTGTCTTCCCCCCACATTCTAGGAATCAGCCGAGAGATCACAGATTGGAGACTACTCCCAGGTTGAATCGGAAGAGACCGATAGGGCCGCTGTTAGCGGCAGAAAAAGAGAAAACGCGGGGTGACAGCGCTGTCAGAAAGGACAGGCACACTGGAAGCCAAGCGTTGCGATTTTCCAGGGGCCGGCGATCCAGGCTCCAGGGAGCAGTGGTCATCCTTAATCCCAGGCTGTCCAGCCTGCTGGCAGGGTTGCACTCTGTGCTTTGTGGGAAGTGTAGTTCCAGGGTGTCATAGGCCTCTTCTGGGGTCAAAAATATGCACTTTGTGTGTGTGTGTGTGTGTGTGTGTGTGTGTGTGTGTGTGTGTGTGTGATATGTAGAATAATTTATTGTGTTTTGGGTGGTTAGTTCAAATGCTTTAGGTTATTTAACAGCACCCCACCCCCAGGGCTGCCCCTCAGTTAAAGACTGAAGAAGAAAGGTGCTATTTGGATATGATGTACATTTTAAATGCGAGCATAGGTGAGGTGTTGTAAGCTTCTGTTTGTGAAGCTTATGCTATTAAAGCGTCTCAATCGCCATGTGAAAGTTGTTAAACTTAATTTATGTTTCTTTGGTGGTTGGCAGTTGAAAGCTACTTTTATGATCTCACTTTGCCCTCATCACAACCTTGTGGGGCAGGTGGGTAGGAATTATCCTTGTTTTAAAGAGGAGGCAAGTTTAGAGGGATTACGTTCCTGGCTGCTTTGACTCAGAACTGGTGGAGCAGGAGTACCAGTACCGGGAGGCTGTTTGAAGCTGAAGTAAACCTTTGGTATGGCTGTGGGAAGGATGGAGAAGAAGCTGAGGAGAGTAGGCAAGACCTCAGAGTAAGGAGAAAGGTAGATGTGGATAGCCGCAACGAGGATCGCTTGCCTGTCAGCCCAGTGGAGTGACCGCCTGACCTTTTGAAGAGACCAAGTCCTCAATTTTTTTTTCAATATTTTTATTGTGGTAAGATACACATCACAAAATTTATCATCCAAGCCATTTATTTTTAGGTGTGCAGTTTAGGGTCATTATGTGCATATATTCTACTGTGCAATCACCACCATCAGGACGCCTCATCTTGCAGAACTGAAATTCTATACCTACTAAACAACTCCTGATTCCCTACTCTTCCTTGATCCCCTGGCCACTTTTGTGCTTTTTGTCTCTGACCAGCACTAGCTAACATGTATAAATGACTTTACACTTTTTTGTGTGTATGATTGTTTTATTTCATTTAGTATAATGTCTTCATAATTTATCCTTGCTGTAACATTTGCCATGATGTTTTTTTTCTAAGAATGAATAATGCACCCTTGCTTGTAATATTTTTCTTATCCATTCTTCTCTCTGTGGACAAGTTTTTTCCAAATTTTAGTTATTATGAATAATGCAGCTGTGGTCCTACTTTCAATTCTTTTGGGAATATACCCTTAACTTTTGACTTGATCTTTGACCAAAAAACTTGCCATTTTCTTTTGGCTTGTTTCTTGTGATGCTGGGCATTGAAGCCAGGGCCTTGCACATACTAGGCAAGTACTCTACCACTAGTTAAGCTCCCAGTCTGCCGTTTGTCTTTTTGCCAGTGGCATACCATTTTCCATTCCTACCAACATTACATAAAGATTCCATATTATTGTCAACGGTTATTTTCTGTATTCTCACTAGTATCACCCTAGCAGATGTCAGGTGATGTGATTTTATATATATGTAAGTGTATACATATTATAAAAAAATATATAAACAGAAATAAAAATATACTTTAAAATTAACATGCCTCGTGGTGTTTGAATTTCTGTTGTAACACTAAGTACATTAAAGTCTCAGTTACTGGTAGGAATGGGAAAGAAAACGAGGACAAATTAGCATTTTGAAGTGGCTCAAGTGTTTACAGTGTGTACTTGTATATCAGGTACTTGTTAAGATGCTGATAGTATTTCTGGTCAAGGGATTTATTGGCATTAGCAGCAAATGTTAAAGTTAGGAACAGACAGTCCAATTCTAGCTGTTCCATTTTCTTTGGTCAAATTACCAAAGAAGTCTGTTTGATTTAGCTTTTTTTTTCTTCAGGAGAGATTAAAGACTTTGGTACCTTAGAATAACTTGAGACCATATACATATGTGTAGGTTAAGAATTTATGAGGATCTTGACATGGTATCATTCCAAGCACTTGTAAATCTGAAGCTAGAGGAGCTCCAGTTTGAGGCCAGCCTGAAGTATATAGCAAAACTCTCTCTCACATACACTCACAGTGAAGCAGTTTTTCTTTTTCTTTTTGAATGGCTGTAATAAGAGGAGATGAATGGTAAAGGTGCCTTGAGGGTTCCAAGAAAAAAACAAGCTAATTATCTGAGCATTTGGTAGCATTTTACTGTTTCTGAGATTGGTCTTGTTACACATGCCGTCCAACGCTTGGGCTCCAGCAATTCTGCCTTAGTGTCCTGAGTCCTAGAACTAACGATAGGCTTTTACCACTGGGTCTGGCTTACTGTGATTTCTGCATAATTGATGATAATAGAAACATCCCTCTGGATGGCAGCATTGTTTTTTTCTTTTTTACTAAAAAATTCGACATACAGAAAATTTGAAAGTGAATATCTACGCAGCACCTAGACTCTACTTTTGGTGGTATCCTGTGCAGTGGCATTAAGTCCTCCATCTTTCAGATACAAAGCCACCGTACATTGCAGTAGCTTCCTTCTTTCTTTCCCCTAAGTCCCTTAGCTAGCCTCAAAGTGTTGGGTCTTTCTGCTGAGATTACAGGCATGTACTACCATGCCCAGCCTTTGATTGCATAATATACCCTTGAACACTAAAGAGACCAAAAGGTAGGAAGCCAAGATAGTCTTCAGTTTTTGTTAGAATTTATGCCCCCCCCCTTTTTTTTTTTTAAAAAAAAATCTTACATGATTTTTATTTTGAATCAGGTGGCTATAACTAATGTTTTTTTTGAGTGTGCCTACTTACTGGTGCCTCAGAATAACCCTGTGAGTTTGGTACTATTATCCAAATGGTAAAGTTATCTTAGGACATAGTTAGGGCTTGAACTTAGATTCTCTGATTTAACAGATTATGCCAGTTCTGCTCTGTCAGCTATTAATTTCCCTACGATTGTAGAAAGAAGTGGCTATATTTTCAGTGTTTTTTTTTTTTTTTTTTTTTTTCCTTTTTATTTCTTGTATAGGGATAAAAACCAGGATGGGTATTCTGGGGAAGGGTTCTACTGATCAGTCTCCCAGCCCTGTGGCAGTGTTTTGCTGTTAGATGAACAAAATGTACTAGACTTTTGGATAGTATCTGGAAAGGAGATTAATTAGTTCATATTGTTAAAAGTGCTTCTTAACTCTAGTTTGTAATTACTTACGTTCATAGTGTGATTTTCCTTGTATTTAGGCTCATATCTGCAATTGGAATGCAGGTATCTTCAATAGAGGGCAGATGGCTAGTTTTTATTTTAACATTCTCCTTTATTGGTTCATGGAAAAGTCAACACGGTAACTGTTTCGGTAGCTGGGAGAGGTGCTTCTGACAGAGGGAAGAAAGGATTCAAGAGTTTCTGCTTGGTCAGCTGCTTAATGCTTTCATGGTCTTGGCTTTATAACTGGAACGTGGCATTCAAACCTGATCTGTGTTGGGTTACAGACAACTCCTGAAGAAGCAACATATAATCTTGAAGCTTACACTGTTGAATTTGATTGTTAGACACAGCCATGTGAAGCCTTAGTGGTATCAGATAGGTGACATTCCAGCAGTCTTAGGAGAGTGGCTTTTTAGAGAACGACATGTGGCGAGCTGGGGTGTAGTGGTGCGGTTGACCATCTATGTGAGCACGCCGAAATAGTCCATTACAGGTGACCCTTGCGATGATCAGAGACTGCTGAGCTGATCTTTGTAGCAAGGCCGTCAAGTTTGTGTCATTAAATTTTGGTTAGTTAAATAAGTTAAAATGGAAAATGACAACAGAATTTCTCTCTCTCTTATTCTAGTTTACATTTTATTTCTATCCTATTTTTTTGAATTATGCTTTTAGTAAACAATAATTTTAATAAAGGCCATTGCCAATAGTGGGCAGGAGATCCTGGTCTTGTCAGAAGATAGATGTGAGAACTGTGGGAAATGCCAGTGTGCACAGATGATTTGATCCAGTTGTTGATTTCTCCTTTCAGTCATGGCCAAGACCCTGCTTTGATGCCTGCTATCTTGTATTACATGTTTTAGCCACATATTTTCTAATTCAGTTAAGTAGACTTTTAAAATCAAGTGAGTAATTTATGCTCCTCAGAGTGCTTTTGATAAGACACAGATTTATATGTCAATATAAATAGCTAATATGAAACATGATATGAAAACTGCTTAATGTGGGTCTTTGGAAATCTCAAGGAAAGAATATAGCACTCTAGGATCTAAGGAATAAAAGCTTAAATTGAGTCATGGGATTAGAAGAATAATCCTGCATTTTAAGAAAAGGCTAGTAAATCGTGGGAGACGAATGGAGATGTGTTTTCTGTAGCTGTGTAAAGAACCAGGAAGAAAAGAAACTTGGTATAGTCTTGAGACCTGCTCTTTAGTGCCTTCATGATTTGGGATCTCAAACAAATTACTTTCCTTAGTTTTCTTTCTTTCTCATGAAATGGGGGTGATAACAAGAAATACTATACTCTTGGTGTTGTAAAGATTGTCATATGTAGAAGTGTTTTGTAGAAACAGTGAAGGTCTCTAAGTTTACTAACATATTTGGTATGGGGAACGGCAAGAACAGATATCATTGGGAAGATAGGATGGAGCCAAGCTATAGAAATGCCAATGTAAAGACTTTGAACTTTGTTCTGTAGACAGTAGAGGAGCTAAAGGGGTGTTTTTCAACACAAGAAGATCTACTTTATAAGGATAACAGGTGGCAGTCCTGATTGATTGTAAGAATGCAGAGATCAAGAGCTCAAGACTTAATAGGAGTGGATCACAGTGGCTAAAGAAATGTAGGGTCTGAATTGAGACAGTGGTAATGGATTTGGCAAGGAGATAGATAATATTAATATTGAATCCCTTAAGTATGTAGAAATGATTGGGTTGTCATATAGATGAGAGGGTTATTGAAGAGAGGGAAGAGTTAGGGATGCTTCCAAGACTCTTAACTGGACATTGTAGAATAGGGAAATAGGGGAGAGAGTAATTTTTAGGCTGACTTAGAGACTTAGAAATAATGAAGGAACAAATAAGATTGTATTCAACAAATGAATGATGGAGGCATCTTTTTTTTGGAATAGTTTTAAGGAGAATGTTTTAAATGGTGGCTGGTGCCTCTGAAATTACAGTCAAGCTGGTTTCAAATTCATTGCTTTATCGCTTTCTGGTTAATGTGTCTTTAAAACACAGAACTGCCTACCTTTGGGCCTTGTTTGTAAAATGGGATCACAACAAAACCAACTTGGGAAGAGATGAGGCATGATGCATGTTAAAAACTTGGTAAAATTTAACTTGGTTAAACATTTGGCACATGGGTTGTATGTGTATAGAAAATTTGAAAAGGTGTGGATGATGATGGGATCATAGAAATGGACGGCTTGTTCTGAAGACAGTCTTTGAAGCCTGTGAATATGTAGGGAGGATTGGTACGATGACATTCAAGATGAGGAGTGCTGGGAAAGTCATGGGTAGAGTCACTCTACTGACTTTCCCGAGTCTCGCTGTATGTGGCCCATGCTGGCTCTTGATCCTCCTGCTTCAGCTTCCTAAGTGCCTAAGCATTTACATTTCTCAGTTATTTTACTGGTAATGTTCGTGCCAGCTAACATGCTTCTTAGAAAACTACCGTGTAACTGAGATACTCCTTTAAAAGTGCAAGGTTTTAATGTGCTTATGATATATACATCCTTATACGATAAAATTCATGTTGTATTGGTATTGGGGTTTTTAAATCTTTAAGCAATTATTATCAGTGTATCTTTTGAAGCTTTATATAGGCTCAATTTCTGTGTTTATGGTCGTACTCTTCTTCAAACTTGGTAATCACTGTATTTTTTTCTTATTCTGATTTGCAAAGGAGGGCATCAAAGATGTTAGCAAGAAATGAAAAGTGCTTATTTTTCTTAAAATGGTAGCTATGTGTACAAGTGTTAATTGTATCTTTTTTGGTGTTCTAAATAATAGATTCTTTATACAATTGCATATGTACGAGTGGATGAACATACCATTGGTGATCCAGAGGATTTTTGTCAAGATTGGATAAACCATGTATCACATTGATTGTAGAGGTTAGTAGATTTAGTTCCTGAGGATATGTCCATTTTTATCGCAGCATTTTAAAATGCATAGATTATTAGGCAGTAGTTTTCCCCTAAGACCTTCACTTTTTTTTCCTTTTCCCTTTTTCTTTTCCTAGTTACCTGAGAGAATTAGTGAAGTTCATGTTAGTTTGTATGTGCCTGATATTTCTATTCTATGTGGTGGTCAATATAAAAAAATTAGCAAGAAAGAGGAAAAAACTAGATATTATTTAGCAGTGTGCAAAGGCAGAAGCAATGGATGAAAGTTTACAACCAATATCTGCTTTACAAAAAAGCATTTTACAATTTTAGGAACACTTATGGAATTATTTTATTCTGAAAAGAGGAATTGTAGGAGGAGTATTCGTAGTAATTGGGTATTCCGGATTTGCTACTTTCATATGCACTGTGATTTTTTTTTAAGATGTTTTATTCTGTTAGTATTACACAAGAGTGTGATTCCAGTTTTGCTTTTCAGTGCTACTGGGTAGTTTTTGAAACTCCATGAATTCAATGTCCAGTGACTACTTGGGGTTTAGCAACATCAGTCCAAAGTGCACTGTGCGCCTATCTTCTACTTTAACTCTTAGACTAATTTAACTATTTTTTCCTAACTTATTATCTTATGACTTTTTAGTATCTATACTGCTAGTTACAGCATATGATGCCTAATTTAAGTGGAATTTGAGGGCTGGGATGTTTTATTAAGTAGATTCAACTTCAGAATAAATTTTAGTTTACTTTTGCCATTTCTTATCTTTTTTTTTTTACCTGTGGTATATGGAGGAATAAAAAATTTGGAGGTTGGAAAAATTGTTTAGTAGCATAATGAGGGTATTGCTTATTCATAACATCCTGGATTCTTTAACTGTTTTGGGCCCTGTGAGCAATGTATTAATGCTTTTATGATATACTGAAGACAAGCCAAACCATAAACGCTAAGGTTTAAATACTGACTTTTGGGTAGGCATGGTTAGTGCATGTCTGTAATCCCTGCACTCAGGAGGATCACCACAACTGTGAGGCTGTCTTGGACTACATATGAATTCCAGGCCAGCTGGGGTTATCCTGTGATATACTTTGAATAAACAAAACAAAAACAGCATTTCAGACTTTTTCACATTGTGGACATTGACTACCCTACATTGGACTATTATGCAAGCTGAATTTTACATAGTATTTCCCTCAGATTGGCCTTCATAAGATAAAGTAAGCCTTCTGCTCTCTACCTTACTAAAATTAATTTCTGGCTGGTTGCCTGCCAGCTGCTGGCTCGGAGGGGAAAGGCCTTTTTAGAGGTTGGCGTGCTTGTGAATCTAAGAGTGTGTATTGGAAATATGCCACTTAACTCACTTCATCTTAGAAATTGATGAGGAATCTTGTCAAATCATCTGGTCCGACTGTCAAGCTGCCCTCATGATCTCCTTCCTTTTCTAAGTGTGTGTGTGAAGGGATGAGGAGTTGAAGGCAGTAAGTAAACAGTCTTGTTGGGGAGCGGAGGTGAGCAGGAAGAGGGAAGCCTTTTTATGGATCATAGTCAGTTGGTAGGGTGTTTAAAGTATGGCATCTTCTGCAGAAGGCTCAGGTTTCATAGACACCAGGAAATAGATTGTTACCTTCACCTTGCTTAAGGGTTTGCTACTCGTTCTTGTAGACGAAAAAAGATCCATGATCCCCCCCCCCCCCCCAATGTACCAGTGGCAAACCAAAGATAATGATCCACCCAAGTTTAGCTTGGTGAAACAAGGAATTTATTTGGGCTTGCAGGAGCCTGGGTGAGGGCTTTTGTACAGGAGAGTGCATGACTCAAAGGTACCTGCTGGACTGCAGAGCTCTACCCCGGCATGGGTTGCAGTTGATGAAAATTGAATTCTTAGAGTTCCCTGCCGGACTTGGGCAGGCGGCTGCATGGACCACCCTTCCTTTCTCTGTACTTGTTTACTGCTTTTGTAATCGGGGGAGGAATATCAATAACTTTTTGGGTTTTCTGAGCCTCCAAAGTTTGATTAGCTTTGTGAGTCTTATGATCCCTTTCCCTCTTTCTATGAAGGAATGTTTCAATTTGGAGGAAATAACTATATAACAAGGACTTTCTTAATCGGGCCTTTGTCTTGGCCCTGTGGACAGAGGGATAAACATACTTTGATTGCCTTAGTTCTGAGGGGCAGGAGAAGTAGGATTGACACATAGGTAAAGACCTAGGAGCATGACGGTTCTTTTGGGCTACCCAGCTAGAGGAAGGCCGCTTTTGCAGAAACTGTGATGGATTGTTTCTTTCTAGGATTGAATCATTTCCTTATTACTTATCCTATCCAGAAAAGGCCTGTAGGGAGTTCATAGGACCAGGATAAAAGCAATATGTGTGTGGTATGTAGTATATGACTTGGGCCTCAGGTGGGATGGATTTAGTTGTGTGGTGTAGATAATGGAGTGATCTAGTGTATTTGGGAGAGTATACATGTTGATTGACTTGCTTGATCAAAAGAATTGGACTGGAAAAACACTGGATGCGGTGGCACACATTTTGAGTCTAGTACTTAGGAGGTGGAAGGGAGAGATCTAGAGTTTGAGGACAGTGGGCTATAGCAAGGATGTCTCAAAATATTTGGGCTGGGAGAACTTACGGTATATGTAAGAAACAAATGGGATTTGAGTGGCTTGTGGGGAGTGATGGCATACATAGGTGAGGGTGTCCATCTAGGTTAGACTGGCCTACTCCTAGAAGGACTCCCTTTCTGGTCTTACGTGACATTCATTGGAAGCATTTTGTTTTTCAAATGTACTTTATGGAGGTGTGTTTTTTTCATGTTCAAGATCTTATATTTGGATCAAGTTGAAAGCTGGCTGCCAAGATGGCACTTAGAGTGAATCAAAATACTTATGAAAAACTGAGAGGAGACCTTCAAGAGAGTCTTAACTGCAACTAATGATTGTTCAGATCTTCTTCCAGCTTTTCTCTGCCTTCATGCCGTTCTTTCTTCAGTTCAACTTGCTCTGATTTTGTGATCGATAGGGCAGGCTCAAGATATCTGCATCATATCTGCTAGTTTATGCTTCTTGGTTCAGCTGGTTCTGAATGCCTGAGGAAAGTACGTCAGAGACCTGTCCTGATGTATTTGATACTGGCTGTGATCAGGGAACAAACTTAGGTGTATGTAGTTGTCTCACATGATTTAGTATCTTCGTTGTCTTCTGCTGAAACCAAGCTATAGTTTATCATACTGGAAGGAGCATTGTGATCGGAGATGAACTTCCACTTATTTGCATTGTAATCTTGATCAACATAGTTTTTGTAGATGTTTTCATCTCATCTATAAATTGGAGCTATTTTTACCTACTTGAATAGGTAGTGCTTTTTTTAGGGGTCGGGGGAGAGATACTTCTTTGTCTTATTTAGTTACCTTTGGCAAGCCAGTTAGGTCGTGAGTTTCAGTTTTAATTTTTCATCTGTAAATGCAAGTATCAATATTGTATCATGTTTTTCTTAGACCCAAAAGACCCCATGGTCATCTTACATATAAAAATTTAAAAAAGTAACTACTGCTGAGAAGAATATTTGTTGAATTATTCTATTACAGTCTGGCATATTTTTTTGTGGTAATTAAGCAGATAATTAAAAATGTAACGTTGCTTTAGATTATTAATTGATTTGTTATATGATAGGACATGGTCTAGGTATTTTCAGCTTTCTTTCCAATCTTAGATTCTACTTAAGACCCCTAACAACATCTATTTTTTTAGTTTTTATTTTTCTGTTCTGGGTATTAAACTCAAGTTTTACACACACTAGGTTTTGGTACTTTTCCTTAGACCATATGCTCAAATATTTTCTTCTTTTACATTAAAAATTCTTTAGTACTGTGATTGAGATTTTTTTTTTTGTTTTTTTTTTTTTTTTTTTTTTCGAGACAGGTTTTCCTAGCTCCCCTGGACCAGAATCTTTCCTTATCCTTGAAATATGAATTCTTTTAATTGTTCTGTAGTCTTTTCAAATAAAGAAATTTATTTTTATTGAATATTTAAAAATACAAATAAAACATCACTGATATATTCTTACAAACAAAATTTTGCTATAAATATAATATCTTTAAAACAAAAGTATTTCAAGTAAGAATAAAAGAATATTAGGAAGAAATTATGGAGAACTATTATGAAGACTTGTTTGCATTTGTTGGAGGGGTTGATAGAGATGGAACCCTGAGTACATGCTAGGCAAATGCTCTACCACTTTATTTATAGAAATAGTTTTTAAAATATCTTGTTTGTATTTTATGCTTTGTGCTTGAGAGTGTTTCAATTTTTAATTTTCAGATTTTCATTTAAAGCTTACAATATCTTTTTATTTATGTCATTAATTTGCCTGAAAGTGATTTTTGTGATATTTCAGTTAGTTTTGTTGTCTGCTTATTCTCTATTTCAATTTATTTGTTTCTTTGAACTACTTTCATTATACATACTTTTAATTACTGTAAAACTTTATATTAAGTCTTAAAATGTGGTAGGGCCACTCACTTTGGGGGGAATTATAGGTTATTTTTGGCTGCTTTATTCCATATTTTTTATTCACATTCCACCTGAATTTTTTCAATTATCTTTTTAGCTTTCATGAAGAACTCTTGTCTATAGAGAATCTTTGGTTGTGGAATATTCTACTGTTTTTATAATCCTAGGTTTATTTATAGACATTTTTAGTGTTTACCATTATTTTTGATGCTTTCTCTCTGGACACAAAATAAATTCTGGTGCTTGGTGGCATTTTGGTTAGGACATGGCATGGTGTGTGTATAAAGCATGAGATTAGCTCACCGTGTTTGATGAGCAGAAGGGTTGTGGTGCCAGGGAGCAGTGTTTCAGCTGCAGTTGGCCCTGTCAGGTGACTGCTGGGCAGAGCCTTTCTACTGAGCTTTGGTTGATGACTGTTGTGGAAAGTTAATGTCAGTTGACGTTGTGGAGATTTGGGCATTTAACTTACAGAATGTACTAACTCC